CTCCCCTAACATCATCGCGACCGGCTCCTCGGAGCTCGACCAGTCGTCCTATTCCCACCACGCCGACAACGACGTCGGCGTGGCCGTCATCGACCGGTACACATACTACAACCTCGAATTCCTCGAGACCGAAGTCCGCGATACCAGCAGCAAGAAGACCGTCGGCGACCTGTTCGACAGTTACACCTACGAGAAGATCCATTCCCACGCCGGTGTGCGGTACGATCTGTTCCGCGGTGGTGCCGAAGCGGCCCGTAGCCGGCTCGTGACGGACTTCTTTGGCAACGTGCAGAACGTCGAGGTTGACGGGTCCAAGAATACCACGCTGGAGGAGGACCTGCTATCTCTGAGCCGGACGATCGCCGCTTTGCGCCAGAAGGCCGACGAGGAGGAGGCTGCTCGCGCTGATGCTGGTGCTCTTGGGCTGGAGAATACGACGACAACGGAGCAAAAGATTACAAGTGTGCCAAAGCGGACCAGCCAATTTGCGAAACCGCTGACGGACGAGAATTGGTGGACAAAGAAGATATTTGGGGCTACGACGCTGGCTGGGTGTGCGTTATTATGGGGGCTAGGTTCGTTTTTGGAGGCCAAGTAAAGGACATGGCGTGGTGGAGGTTTTGAATCTTGGATGTAAGTATTAACTGCGACTTGAAAGACGGCTGAGTGCTGTTTAGTTTGGAAGAAAAGGGGGAGACCAGCCTCAGATCTCAGTGTTTTAGTTTTTCTTCGGCATAAGGTGGCGTTCGAGTGTATATGTAAAGCCCCTGTTACTGCTTGCATGCCCCTATTGAGGCTTGATAATCGTTTATTCATTTCTTGCATTTTTTTATACCTATCGTTGCAGGAGATGGTTCTGTGTTTCTCGCGTGTAACCCTTGATAGAGACCACTTTATGGCCCATAAATCTTGATATGAACAACCTTTCTAAGCTGAGGATGTATCACTTCGAGGAACACCAACCCCGTAAGCTTCCAGTAACCACTCCTACGTTCTAAAACGGACAAAACCACGATGTGATTGTATTTTCATCGTATGTAAGTACGAAGGGAGTCACCTGAGTGTTCGAGTGTCACGACGGCGGCCGGTGAAGGGTTAGGGTTATGCCAAGGTTTGACTGACAGCCTAAGCCATTCAACTGTCAGTGGTTTTGGCGGCTCAAACTCCAACCGTCAAACTCAATCCACCTTTCTCATCATCCACAACTGTATAAAAGGTCCAACATAGCAAACGCACTCCGCATAAGAGCGCTCGTTTTCCAGACAGTATGAAAGCAAAACCTGTACCTCATTTCAAGATAACTGGCAGCTTATCCTGAGATCCGACCCAAGAGGAAAGAAGTCGCCGAGATGAGTGGGGCGCCTTCAAAACAGAAGGTGAGTGAGCATCAAATCTCGTCGACAGACTGGAGAGCCATAACACCAAGCGAATGTAATTTCTAAACAATTCCTGGATTTCCTTCAACAGCTTATCCAAACTGGATTAGGATGCCACTCTTCCCAGTATTGTCCAAGTGGACAGAAGAATCACCCGGTACTATCAATTATCATCATTTTTCCATATCACATTCACATCAGCAGCCAACTTACACGTAGAACCTCCAGTTTTTACCTTTACGCGAGATCACGCTTCACTCGCGACCGCTGGTGAAGCGCAGCATTGCGTTCTCATGCGACGGCGAACTCGCAGTAGCCGCCGACGACTCGGTCCACGTCCTCGTGCCCGAGTTCCCTGATCTCGCCAAGCGCAGGCAGGCCAGAAAGGAGAAGCACCTGAAGCAGCAGCGAGCCAATGGCACGACGACGACCAACGGAAGCAACGGTACGACGAATGTAACTCATTACGATGATTTTGGAGAGGACTACTCCACCTCAGACGAGGAGGACGAATCGTCCAAGGCCCGCGGCAACACGCGCGCCCAGTACTCCGAGGGCAGCAAGCACATGCCGGTCTCGTACCCACCGCTCGACCCGCGCATAAACCGCGAACTCTACACGGCCGCGGGTATGCCGTTTCCGTACGACGGTGCCGCAGCCTCCAGGGCAGGTGGTATTGCTGCAGCTGCTGCCGGCGTTATCGACGACGACGAGGATGCCGATTCTGACGCCGCTGTTCTTGCCGCCGAGGAAGACGATAGCGATGAATCTGACGATGGAGATTACTGCGGAGGCTCACATATCCCCAACCGGCCCTTCGGCGCCGGATACGGTCCTATCACCGGTGTCGGGAGCAGCATGAACCATGTCGTCCACATGGCCTGGTCGCCTTCCGGTCTGGGAATCAACCGCCGCCCGATCCTGGCCATCTTGACGGGCTCGGGCACGCTGGCTATGTATGGAGACGGCAGCACCACGGCGAATATCCTGCCGAGGGCGAACGAGGGCATGCTGCAGCACCGCGAGCTGACCTCGTGGATGGTGCTCTGGGGCGTGGGCGAGCGGTTGGTGGTCCCGGGCCAGCAGACGGACGTGAGCGAGTACATTCGTGGGTTTGCGTGGGCCAAGCAGAGCGGGCCGGGCCAGGCGCTGCTTGCCACGGTCAATGACCAGCAGGAGGTTGCCATTCTGAGTGTGCAGACGGTGTACCGGCTGGACGACGCCAAGGTTAATAAGGCGAGCGTGCCGTCGATGGCTAGTTCCCGCGAGACTTTGGTCTGGTTGGTACAGGAAGTCGCGCGGTTCAAGGCCCAGGGCCCGCATCCAAAGGGAAAGGTAAAGTGTGCCGACTTGTTGGGGGTTTCGTCTGTGAAATTATGACTGACTGTGTTTATCAAGGTGACGGATCCAGATTGGTCGCCCTGTGGCACGTCGTTCGGACTCAAGTGGACGCCTTGGGTGCAGACGGAGGATGCGCAGACTTGTATCCTGTCGTTCATCGACAGGAATTATATCGGCTTCCGCAGAATCAGGATCGAGAAGCCTTGGGTCAGAGGAGACCTTCCAAAGGTTGTTGCTGATGACCAAGATATCTTTGGAAAATGTCTCTACCTCTCGACGGACGCGTTTGTCGAGTTTGAGGATGCGGTAGGTGCTAACCTACTCCGGGAACCCATCGCTGGTCCGTATGGTTGCTGACATGCCACAGATTTGGAAGCGAGGAGAAATAACCATGTGCAGAGGCATTGCGGTCACTGGGTTCTATTGGATGCATTTTAATATAGCTATTACTGGAGGTACCAGCTACAGCCACCAGCCGCATACTCTGAAGGACTGTGGCACAGTATATCCTCACGAGGACAGTGCACCTTCAGAAAATCCCATCGCAGGTATGAACAGCTTTAACTTTATCCCAAACTTTACTGACATGCCGTCGCAGACCTGGTCATTCATCCACCAGACCCATTGAACCCAACAGAAAAACCATTATATACCCTCATTCGTCTCTCGGCCACAGCCACTAACCCAGACTGGTACGAGACCAACGTTGCCTATCCGGACGACGACTCTCCTGATGGCAGCGGTGGTAAACCGCAATGGGTGCGTGACATGACGCAAAAACTAGAGATATCCGTCCCCGCCGACATGCACCTGAGGCATGGCTACGGCGGTGGTGAGAGCGATTCGGAAGATGACGCCAACTCGGGCCCCGACGACGACGACGACGACGACGATATGATGGCAGACGATGACTACGACGAGGATGGCGACGTCACAGCCGCCGTGACACAGGCTCCCGAGGTTCACCCACACCGGTTTCGCATGCACGGTCTCACGGTCTCCCCGGGCGGTGGCGCAACCGCCGTTCTGTTTAGCCAACATAGCACGCAGCTCCCCGAGCGCGGCGGCTGGCATACTGTCCGTTCGACCATTTCGTTTGGATACAAACCGCGTTGGCCCCGCAGGCGACCGCCGTCTGGCCAACAAGCGCCGCAGCGGTGTGCGTCCTCAACGCCCGAGAACGCATCTTTAGGATCCGATAATGATATTGAGATCCAGTCTCTGACGACCGAGGCTCGTCTGTTCGAGTGGCTCTACGGCGATGGACCCCCGGTGCCGGGCGTGAACTCGCCTTCCGGTAGTGCCACCACCACAACTCAAGATGAAGTGGTTAGCCTGAGCAGCGAGCAGAAGCAGCTCCGCGAGCTATTCAAACCGACTCTCGAGCAGCAAAATTGCGATTTATGCGGTGCCAAGATGATTGAGCGCAAGAAAGGAGCGTTGAGCGGATGCGAGAACGGGCATTACTTCGGCACGTGTGCTACTAGCGGACTGGCCGTGCAGATACCGGGGATCACTCGGAGCTGCGGGACGTGCGGGCTACGGACGATCCGGACGGAGGTGTTGGCTGGCAAGATGCCGCCTGAGCACAGGGAGGCGATTCTCGAGAAGATTGGGGATGGTGTTTGCGGTGGTTGCGGAGGCAAGTTCTTGACTTAGCGGTGAACGGGGATGGGAATTCTTAAGGAACTGGTAATGTTTTCTCGACTTGGTCCGGAACACTCAAGTGCTGGTTGTATTAATATCTGTATAGTTTTTGTACGGGGAGGCATACAGTATACCACAGCATGCATGGTTGGGTGTTTTTGGTTAGATCAGTTACAGAAAGTACCTTAGATCCTTGACATTGAAAAGATACTGATTACAAACAGTATCTGAAGCGTAATAAAATGCCAAAGTTAGACCGGCCCCTACCTATTGCAAAGATCCCCTGTGCCTACAGTATCCTGCTGTGGTCTGATCCATTCATTCTCCTAACCCTGAAAAGGGTTATGTGTGTACTGGTACTTCCTGGCCAAACAGCCCTTGTCCACAGCCACACAAACATTCATACATCTGCAACATGCCATCTCCAAACGCCGAATATACCCACCCCATCGAACAAGGAAGCACCACCTAATGGTTTAGCTGCATTCACAGGACTCTACTGGCCGGTGAGGTACGTACAATCATAAGCTGTGGGGCTGTCTTGGCGGCGGCCCCTTTTTCACTGCCTTTAACCTCCACCACACACACACAGAGAGAGCTATTTTCCAGCCTCAAAAATAACAACACAGACAGACAGGGACCTTGGCGCAGTTGGTCAGCGCATCTGTCTCATACCGTAGGTATGATCTAGTTAAACACCAGGGTAATCAGGAGGTCGTGAGTTCGAGCCTCACAGGTCCCAACCTTTCCTTTTGCTGGGCCAACAGGTTGTGTTTCGCACCCCATGATGACTTTCTGACACCAGAGGCATTCAAGAAAGTGTGGGGAAGCCTGGAGAGTCACTTCAAGTTGCATGGCAGGCAAAGATTACTGCAGAAAGTCGAATATGCTGTCTCTTTTTTTTTTTTTGTTTGGAGGATGGGGGGGGGGAGGGGTTTATCCTTTTTACGTGATGTAGACACCTGTTTGGTAGGCAAGTTAGACAGACAGTGAGTGACTAACGCACAACAGATCAAGAGCTCTACTTGACCAGCTACCTAGGTATCTAAGGCAGTTAGGTTGATATGCGCTGTATCCTGCTTCAGTACCCAAAACCCCTTGGCCACCCCTCCTGGAAGATGGTTGATGGTGACATCCCTTCCACTCAGCTCGATGACTCGTAATGTTCTTCTGCCGCACAGAACCTACACATAGCCGTCTTTACAATGGTTACGGGAGCAATAAACACAACACAGGTTCACACAATTTGGCATAGTGACCACTCCAAACGAGAGAGCGCCCTCAGGTGTACCGTTGAAAGCTAATCATAGTGACATCGTAATATCCAATCTTCCGATACCTGCATAAAATAAGCAGTCTGGCACCAGGTATAGGACAGTCTGGTAGCAGTCAGTAAACAATTGGCATGGAAAGGGGTAATTAGCAGCTTCAACAACCACACTTCAAGAATACGGATTTGTTTGTCACTATGCCTCTTCGTTCCAGAAAAATTGCCCCGTAATCGAAAAGATTTTTTTATTTTTATTTTTTTAAAAAAAGAAAGAAAGACATCCATATCGGAGGTCGGAGAGGGTTTACCTCAGCCACTGGTCATTCTCGGAAATCTTCAATTCAAGGAATGGCACGCAAGGCAAACTGAAGCACAGGCGCGGGAAAACACATCGCAAGCTTCGAGATTTGACCCAACACTGTTCAGAATCCCGGTTTCAGGCGAAAGAGGCATATATATTCAGGAGGGACCCCCGAATCCAGAAGAAATCACATTCGATGCAGACCCTCACAAAACATAAAATACAGACCATATGGTATAAAAAGGTAGCACGCAAGTCCATCCACAAAGCTATATGATGTCTGGTCCAAAGTGATTCAAGCTTGAGCAAATAGTCTATGTAAAGTAGGCAATAAGCGAACACGCACGCTCGTTCGTTCGCCTGCCGTTTCTGCTTGTACTTTATTCCGAGTAACATAGATACAATAAATGTTGAAAGAAAAAATTATATCCCAGGCTTTGTCCATCAATGCAATGAAAAGAGGGGCAAGTTCTAAAAAAAAAGACGCAAGAAAAATCCCGGGCAGACTGACTCCCAATGCTCCAAGAGATCCCTCTATCACAGAGAGTAGATACTCAATCAAATTTCTTTTTCCTTCTTACCACAACAACAAGTCTAGTTAAAGACCTTGTTCATAGCCTGGTGCGCCAACTCGACACCCAAAAACGTCGCCGCGTTAGCAGGCACCGCTCTCGCCAGCGCCGGCCCAAACCCAGGGAAGAATGCCTTGTAGCCGCCCTTGCTGTACAATCCCTTGACAACACCGCCAATGGTCACATTGCCCTCGGCCGTTTGGAGCCGGCTCTTGACCGTATCGATGGGAAACACAGGAATCCACATGGCCACGCCCGCAGCCGCACCTGCACACGTGATGGCTGTAAGACTAAGCTTGCCACTTGCTTCTCCGGTGATCGGGTCCTTGGGCGTCAGCTTGCGCTTGATGTACTCGTAGGCAGCAAAATAGGCGGCCGACCCGGGTCCGTCGCGGGCGAGCGTCGCCGCCGACCCGCGGAACACAGACCGAATACCGCCCTCCTTGTACAGCTGACGCACGACGTCGGTGCCGCCGCTGTACTTTGGCTTCTCGCCTGGCGCGAGCGTCTTCTGACCCTGCACCTGCAGGATGACTTTCACGCGCTCGAAGGGGGCCGTGATGGCGGTCATTGGAATCGCCGAGAAAAAACCGGCGCCGGCGATCTGGCCGATCGAGAGGTTGCTGTCGGGGGCGGCGCCGGTGGTGCTGCGCACGATAGTCTTGCCGAGATCGTAGCCCCAAAAGGAGACGGCAACTATTTTTTCTCAGTCAGTTTCACAAGCCCGTTTACTCTTATCGACGGTCGGATGGGGGGAAACATACACATGGGCGTGACACCCACGAGCGGCGCGCTCACGCCGGCATACAGACCCCTCCGCAGGCCATCCTTGGCGACACTTTTCCTCACCACGTCGAGCGCGCTCGAGTAGACGCCCTTTTCGGCGGTCTGGAGCCGGACCTTGACCAGATCGAACGGGTGGCCGACGACGACGGCGCAAACACCGCCGAAACCGCCTGCCACAAAAGAGCGGAGCTGCGCGAAGCTCGTCGATGCCGCTGCCTTGGCCTCGGCTTTTATCTCGGCCTTGAGTTCTTCCTTGCTCTCGGGGATGTGGGGGATCTTGTCGGCGACGGCTCCGGGTAGGGCATCGTGGACTTTGCGGTTGACCGTGGCGCCTGCCGATTCTGACGAAGAGGAGGTCGACATTTTTGTGAGGTGTTTGTGTGCGTAGAGAGAGGGGGGGAGAGCGCGATTATTGCCCCAGGGATCAGAAACGAACGAACCGTTGCTCTGACTTGCGCTAGATCAGTAGATCGGAGCTCCAGGACGCGAGGCAGAACGACGCAGCGGTTTAGGCTTTCGGTGTTTTCGTCGTCGTAGTAGTCTGTGGTCGTAGCGTACGTAAGACGAGAGCTTCACCGAGCGAGCTTTCGTCAATCAACCCGGGCGGCCTCAGTACAGTGGATTGCGCGCGCAGCTCGTTTAATTACCCCGGCTCAATTGGTCCGTCTCCTCGGCTTGAAGGGTTGGCTTTTGAATTGCGATGAGCAGAGAAGCAACCAAGAAGAAAAGCCCAATCTCTGGAAGGAAAATGTTTTGATCTGGTTGTTTGACGAAAGCCGAGAGAAGCCACCTTCGAGCAATGCTGCCCCCAAAGGGTTCAAGCCACGGACGTCACCGCTACCTCGGCAAAAAGGAGCTCTGATGGATGCGACACCGTTGCGGGGCTCCACAACGCCGTCTAATACAGCGCAACAGCACAAATTCAAAGAGGGATCACGGATAGATCTCGATGTTTGTATTAAAGTCCATTGGGGATTGATCGTTGTTCTGTCAAAGTTGTGGTCTTGTTGGATCCTGAACGCATTATCTAGATGAATTGGCGCAAACAGACGTGAAAGTCTCCTGGCCTAGGTCTCTCTGTCAATATCCGGCCCGGCATGCCCTGCGCGTTCGGACGACCCTCGGTCATTCGGCTTGCACATTGATACAGTACCGTACAGTACAGGTCACCCATCCAACCAGCTACTTCACAGGTAAGATATCTGGCAAAATGTCTTTGCGACAGATCCCTTTCCGGACAGACGGGCTGGCGGTCGAGAACCAGCAAGGACCTGAGGTGACCGAGCGGGAGATGGGCGTGGGGTTCCCTCGGCATCATGGAGGGGCTGTTCTGGGTGCCCGTTTGATGCGATGACGGGATTGCATGAAAAGACAACCGTTGCAAGCCGCACATCGGACGGACGGATACACAGCCGCATCAGGAGATATCAATTGACCACGACCTCGAGATATCAGCTGAGCCGCAAGGGAAACAATTGGGTGGAAGGAAGCTCGCCTGGTCCCGTACAGAGCTTGCCTGCCAAGACTTTGTCTTGCATCGCCTAAGCATTTGCATGTGAACGAGGGCTTAGGGCCAACGGAACAAAGCGGCAATTGGCTTTCAGGGGCAGCCAGGGGTGTGAGGAGAGGATGATGGCAGGACGTGACACTAAGGTAGGAATGAGTCGAAGGGCCGCCGCAAAGTTCTACACGGCTGCTAATAAATAATTCAAGGGAAGGCTAGTTCACTGCCGATTAGTTTATCGAGATTGAATGGGTTTGTCTTTCTTTACAATGGGCAAACATTCGAGATATCCGTATGCGCTCGCTCTTGTTCATGTTGCATGTGGCATTCCAACGCGTTCATTCAACCAGTCAAATTTACAAGTATAGAAACGAATGGCATTCGCGTATATAAAACAATTCTCCCTTCTGATGTGCGTAGTACCATGCGCTCAGGGAAAGCCACTCAGTACGTTCGGCCAAATATCCACCAAAGAACAGGATATACCAAAGGCAGCGCAGTACAATCAACCCATATCCACTGCTATTAAAACATATTTGGACTCCCCTTCGACTGCTGCGACAAGGGACTCCTTCCCACGCCACACCAACAACCCGTCTCGCCGTCTCGTTCCACCTGCAAGGTGATATCGATATGATGCTCCAGCAAATAATTCCTCACGCGGTCTCGCACGTCGTCCATATCTGCGCCCCTGACCGCGACGACATGCATCACGCCCAATAGGTTATTCGCCTCTCCCGAATTCCTGTCGTCGATCCAAAACTTGGGCACCGAGTACCCCGCCACGCCTCGTAGGGCCGATATACCCGACAAGGTATCGCGCAAGTTATACTCAATCTCCGCCGGGATGGTGAGCAGCAGGCGCTTGGCAGAAGACCTGACAAGCGGCAAGGCCGATAATAAGATCAATACCGCAATTAGGAACGAGGCGAGGGGATCCCAGCCGGCCCATCGCCAGAAGTGGGTGAGGATCGTGGAGACAATGACGGCTGCGCTGCCCAAGGTATCGGCCAGGACGTGCAGGTAGATACCATGCATGTTTTCGTTGTCGTGAGAATGGGCGTGGGAATGGGAACTGTGAGAATGTCCACTCTTCTCGTCATGACCATGGTGATCATGGCTGTGGGCGTGATCGTGGCCATGGGAATGGTCGTGAGCATGACCACCACAGCCTCCTCCCCCATGCGAGTGTCCATGTCCATGATCATGGCCGTGGTGATGATGACCAAACGCCATCATCCCTACCAGATTTACCAGCAGCCCAAGTGTGCTGACAATGAACAGCTCTCCGAGTCTCTTTGTCTCTCTA